GCAAGACGTTGCACAGATAAGATTTAGCAAAACTTAACTACTTACGAAACGTGAGGAAAAGGGAAGGATCAAAGAGAACACCAAGGTTTCAGACATTTGGAGAAGGTGAAGAGTGATGCTACTGACAAACGTGAAATCAGGAATGGGTAGACTTAAGAGGAAAGAAAATAAGCTTGATTTTGAACATGTTGAGGTTCAAACACTGGGGAAACAGGTAGATACAGACATAAGGTTAAAGATAACAGATTTGGGAATTATCTGAATAGAGTTAGTACCCAAAGCAACAGAAGTGAAAGAAGCTGCTAGGGTTTAGAAGACAAGTGAGAAGAGGAATAAGGGCCGTACCTCGGAGAAATACTTACCCTAAAGGCTCAGAAAGAATAAAAGGAACCAGAAAAGGGGAGAGAGTTCAGAGAGGCAGAAGGAGAAACAGAGTATTGAATTTCTGAAATGAGGTCCAGATTAGAGAGAGTATCTGCTAGGGAGGGCTAGCCAGTCAACACACATTTATTTAGTGCCTACTATGTGCCAGGAATTGGCAACTGATTAGGCACCAGGTAGGGGGAGGGCTAAGTGAGAACAGAGGGTCAAGCATGGTGACTCCTAGGCTGAAACCCAGTAACTAGAAGGATTATGATGTAATTGACAAAAATGGGGAAGTTAGAAAGGGGAAAGGATGAGTTTTGTTCTTAATATGTTGAGCTTGAGATGCCTATGGGACATATCTGGGTGAACACGTCCAGCTGGCAGGTGCAGATTCTGGACTAAAGCTCGTAAGAGAGATAAGGGCTAAATATGTAGATGTGAGAAATATCTGGACAGAGATGTCAACAGAATCCATGGGAGCTAATGAGATTAAGAGAGAGGGTCCAGAATAGAAGACCCAAGAAAGAGCCTTGGGGCTACACCCTCACCCACCCACCCACATGCACCCACAGTTTGCAGGACATGATGAACTTGCAAAAGAGATTGAGAAATGGCCAAACAAGCAGGAAGAGATTCACAACATAACATGCAAAACAAACCTCAGGGAGGAGAGAATACTTAGATAAAGTTAGCAGTGTAAAACATTAAGATGTCAAGAAGGATAAGGACTGAGAAAAAGTTACTGCTTTTAGCCGTAACAAGATCATTGGTGACCCTGGGGAAAGCAGTTTTAGTGGAGTGGCTGGGACAGAATCTAAAATGCCATGGGGTTAAGAAATGAGTGGGAAGTCAAGGCCAGGAGTACAAACAGCTTTTTCTAGAAATTTAGCAGTGAAAACGATGCAGCATGTGTTGGGCTGAAAGAGCTGTAATCTTGGTGTTTTAAATTATAGGGGTTCATAATAAGTGTCTTTACTTTTATTACAAACATGACACTCTTGGCATGTTTGCAGGCAGGACACGAGAAACTCAACAATGTCAAATGTGACGAAGTAGTTAAGGAGGATAAGGACAGGAAAAAGGCCACTGGATTTGATGATTAGGTTCTCATTAAGACCCTTCAAAAAGTCAGTTTCAGTAGACTGGTGGGGCAGAAGCCAAATCAAAGAAAGTGGTAGAGAAGGTAAGGAAAGATATATCTAGCAAAGACAACTTTTGTTCCAGAAGATTATCAGTGAAGAGGTTTAGAGACAGGATTGTTGGTGGAAGGGAGCTCATCACATCTCCATTAGCACACTCACTAAAGTAATACTCAGGTTTCCACATTTAATAAAGAAAAAATAAAGTTTTATATTTTAAAATGATAATCAAATTATTTTAATTTAAAATAACAGCTTTGTCAGATTCCAAAGGTATGAAAAGAAGGTAAGAGAAAGGATCCTTCTATCTCTGCACTTGCAGAAGGAATTTACTTAGGAAAGAGTAATAAACAACTTACCTGTGGTTTGGTGAAGTTTTTGTTCATGCACCACTGAACAAAATATTTACTGGCGGCATCTAAACTTTCTTTATCTGTTTTCTTACAGTATACTCGGATAAGCTGTTCAGCAAATTTTTCAGGTAGAAGCTGTGAAACCTTTTCAAAAGAAAGATTTCATCATTTCTTTCTTGAATCACAAAATAGATAAGATACTAGATCTCCCCACCAACTATGTTCCCACTTTAACGTTGTTGTCCAGTTGATCAGCTGTATCTGGCTCTTCTGTGACTGAATGGACTATATCACACCAATACTGTCCATGAGGTTTTCTTGGCCAAGATACTGGAGTGGTTTGCCATTTCCTACTGCAGTGGATTGAGGCAAACAGAGGTTAAGTGACCTGCCCAGGGTCACACTGCTAATAAGTGTCTGAGGCTGGATTTGGACTCAGGTCTTCCTGACACGAGGCCCAGAGCTCTATCCACTAAGCCGCCTAGCTGCCCCGCCTCACATACTATCACTAATGATATTTATAAAAAAAAAACAAACCCCACCCCATTATTTTCCTTTCTAAGTATTATGTCCCACAATGCACAATGAAGTATATCTCTAAAAGAAGATGAAAAAAAAATCAAACTATTTTGAATAGCAATAAAAATGTCAGACAGGTACACAGACTTGCCAGATGTCACGCTAGCAAACTTGTTTTTACCTAATTTGGGTGTTTACCTGATCTTTTGTAATCATGACTGCTTTACTTTTGTTACTCTTGCAATAGAAACGAACATTATCAATAGGATTTTTTTCTTTCATTCCATAATCCATGTTGATAACCTTGACAGAAGAAAAAAGAAAAAGTTACACAACAGCAATAGGAATAATACTCTATCATTAACTAAGCTTAGAGAGGCAAGCCAAGAAATGCTGCCCATCACCATGACGAAGACCAACAGAATAACATAGCTAGACAGAAATGTTCTGCTAAAAATGAACCAAAGGAATTTTAGAAAAAATTTTAAGCCCGGTCAAAAAGTTCCTAGAAGCACAGTGGATACTATTACTTGGTAGAGTAAGTCTAAGTGTCCATCAATTCAATCATTTCCTTTGGCTATGGGATGAGAAATACACACAGAGTTCTTGCTCTTGAATTCCTGGAAACTGTGTGTTAAAACGAATTGGATTTTCCTTTAAGGAACAATGTTATAATTGAGTTTGTTCTTCTGACCAAGGACATTTTATCAAATACTGTCCTAGAGATGAACAAGAATTTGTCATAAAAGACAATTATTATAAACCCCTATAAATGACAAGCCATCCAGCCCAATCCACGTTCCAAATATATTGCCTGATATGGGCAGCTAAGCTTACAGCCCTTTCATTTCAGGCAGAACAAAACTCAAGCCTTCTAGAATGGGAGGTTAGAACCAGTAAAAATGTCACACTTCTAAACTACCTGAAATGATAAAAGATTAAACGACAGGTGGACAATTGTAAGCAACTTACAGCTACTCTCTTACACATTACTATCATTAATGACATCACAGCGCCAGCAACTTACATCAACTATGAAATCTTCAGCCTTTAATTCAACTCTCAGGGCTATACCTTGTGGTGTGGATGCAGCCACATCTTTTGGAAGTTGATCATATTCCTCCTAGGAAAGAAATGATTCTGAATTTATTATGTAGAAGATAACTCAATCTAGAACAGACGGTTTATATTGCTAACAAGCACATTCAAAGGTCTTTTGTCATGTAAACACCCCATGTACTCTCTCATCTCTCCATCACATTAAAATCCCTCTCTTCCAAGAAATTTGGAATTTTGAGAAGAGTGACAAAAATATCTATACCCTTGGACAAAGAAATTCTACTACTTGGCATACACCCCAAGATAGCTATTGCCAAAAAGAATGACCCCAAATACACAAAAATATTTAGACCAGTATTTTTTCATAGTGGCAAAGAAATGGAGACAAAGTAGATGCCCATCGACTGGGGGAACGATTAAACTAATGGTGATAAATGAATGTAATGCAATATTACTCTCCTATAAGAAACAATGAAAATAGTGAATAAGAAGAAGTGTGGAAAGACTTAAATGACATTTCTGGATACAGCCAATGTGGAAATTTGACTGTATATTTATCATAAAGACTTTTCTAATGGGGGGGTAGAGAAAAATGGGAAGATGAAGGGACATAGGGATAGGGTAGGGAAAAAAAGCAAAAGAGGGTATTGAGGTATCTTTTTTAAAATGGGGAGAAAGGATGGACAGCTAGGTGGCACAATAGATAGAGCACTGGCCCTGGAGTCAGGAGGACCTGAGTTCAAATCTGGCCTCAGATACTTGATACTTACTAGCTGTGTGACCCTGGGCAAGTCATTTAACCTCACTACCTAGCAAAAAAAACAAACAAACAAACAAAAAAAAAAAAAACAAACGAGAAAGGAACAAAAGGAAGGCAAGAAAGAAAAGCAGCCAGGAGGACAGCTTTGAAAACTAAAGGTTGATCTTATTATATACTCTGTGCCTAACAGAGCCTTATAACTTTTGTTCTATCATGTATATGTAATTCTCAGTCTATCTTGTATTTCTTAAAGTTCAGAACAAAAATAAATAAAAGGGCTTTTTTGTTTGTTTTAATGAAAAGACTTATATGAATGGATGCAAAATGAAATACACAGAACCAGAACAATATATGCAATGACTACAATATAAATAGAAAAATCAACACAGTAGTTAATACTGAAAGCTAGGAAATTAGGACTAGGATTAGACCTAAAAGAACAGATATATATGACACCTCCCCCTTGCAGAGGTGAGAGCTGATCACGAATCAGGTACCCAGCACATAATGCTAGACTTTTCCATCTGCTAGTTAGTTTAGCTGAATCTTTCTTTCTCTGGAAGGGGGTGGGAAGAGAGAATACAGTGGAAAATGTAGATGATATAAAAAATTAATAAAAAAGTATGTAAAAATCTTTTCCTTTAAGGCCTAGTTCAGATGCTACTTCTTCCATAAACCATCTAAAATTGATCCCTCTCCCTCATCCCCCACCATTCCCAGACCAAATTGGGAGTAATCTTTCTTTCCTTAAATGTTTTAAAGCACTATGAATGTCTCCTTTGCCCCTAAGGTTTCTTCTTCCTTTTCAATCTATAGCCTATCTCATTTTCTCAGACTTATTAGGGCACCTGTCCTATGAACTCTTGGAGGATATATCATTTAAGAAAAAAACCTTCGTAATCTCAATGCCTAACAGCGCCTTAAATGTAGTAGGCATGTAATGTTTATGGAAATGAATTAAGCATAGTATCTCAGGATGTTCTAAGACACCACACAAGATAAATGTGGTAGCTCTTCCTCTTGGCAAGGCAGGAGGACACACTGTTGCATACACAGTCAGATAAAATTAATATACTAGTTGTTTCTAATTGTTTTTCCTTGTTATGAGAGAGTTCAATTTGGGAACGGAGGAGGGAATATTCAGAAATAACTGTGATGTAAAAAACAAAGTCATCAATACATTTTAAAAAATAGATAATTGAGGGAATTGTGGGAATTGAGTGAACTTCAATGACTCCATCTTGTGACTCGATTCTGGATCTGGTTCAGTTCCCTTTCTATTCATTTATGAGTCTAGTCCAACTTCTGTCTTGTGAGAAAACTTTATTCAATTATGAAAATTGTGAAAAAACCAAACAACTTTATTGCATTGTTCAAATCTAGCCCTGCATGGTTGGCAAGCTGGACTACCTCTAATCTCTTGCTTGGAGACCCTTAACTAAGCACCTAGGTTAAAATGACCAGAAATCCAATCAGAACTGAAGACTGATACAGAGAGTTTTCTCACAAGTACACATCTTAAGCAACCTCTATGTCTTATCTGAAAACTGGCCCTGCATTGGTCAACCACGTATTGTTTCCATGTTCCTCTGAGAGTATACAGATACCTCTTTTTCTGATTTCAGGGAACTACACCTATTCGTTCTGCCTCTCCCAACCTGGAAACTCCCTAATCTTTCCTTCAATTATTAATCAGGTTATCTAATAGTTTTCTTTTCATTAAGTAGTCTTATTTATTTAATCTGTCTCACTATGTATTCAGGGGAGTCCACTGACCCATTTATTATGTCTGTTTTGTCAGTAAATCATACAGCTCTGATTTCTTCCTCAGTTATTGTTAATTTTCTGTCACATAACAGATAAAAGTGGCAAGGGGAGGAAGTTTTCTATCAAATGTAGGAATAAAAGGAACCTGATGAAATGTGGGCCTAGTACCTATGCAGTGATGTATTAGTTACCACATGAGAAAAATATGACAAGAGATTAAAGTCTTTTAAAACTGAGTGTGGGGATCCTGGGGCATTTGGCAGCCTGGCCCCCTCTTTCAGGATTCTGGCTTATCACGCTGATTGGTGATACAGGAGCTCTTGTGAACTTCTGAAAGCTTCATCCATCATTCTTTCATCAGCACATTTAATTCAACTTAGATCTACTTGGCTGCTCGCAATGCAGAGAGGACACTCTACTTAAGGTCTGTGATCAGATGGTTCGGGTAGCCAAATAAAAATCAAGATGGCAATGAAGTTTGAGGAGCTCAGCTTCAGACCCAGCTTGAGGGGAGCTGGGCTAAGATCTCACCAACAGCTTAAAATAGAGGAAAAACCATATAAACCAGGCATGACACAGATATGGGGCTATTTTCAGACTGGTGTTTCATGACCTAGCTGTTCATGATGCAAAGTTCAGAAGGGGAAAATGGCATTATGAATTCAGAATCTTTTTCCATATAGTCTCAGAAGGACCTAAAATGCCATTGAATAGAAGGGCAAGCAAATTAACCAACAACAACGAAAAAACTTTATACAATTTCAGAAAAAAACGCACTCAGCGACACAGGTGAATTCTGGCACTTACACATGCATTAGGCTGGACTTTGCTGGTATAAACCTAATAGCAAAACAAATTTAGGGAAAATTTGTCTCCAACTATTATGCTAGGCAGGGAGAGTCATTTCTGTCTAATTGAAAGAGAACTCTTTGAGGTCATCAGCTGGCAGAATGAGATGTGGACATCTAAACTGGAAAACATTAGAAACAGTCCAAGAGAACAGAACCAGACTGAGAAGGTTATCTGATTTAATAAAGTTAAAGATTTTCTTTGATCACATATTATGTGATACTAGAGACTTATGATGAGAAGAAATACATTAAGAGGACCACTATTAATTATCTATAAATCAGAAACCCACATTGTGAAATTTAAAATTAAGGTTTATGTGTATAATTTGAAGGGCTTTAAAGCATCCCATTAACGATGAGAGTTACCATTACCTCTACTTACCATTTTAATCTTCTCTTCCCCTGTTGGCTGAGTCTCACCCACGAACTTGTATAGTCTACGACATTCAACTTTGTGTAAAATCTCTCGTGCCTCAGCCAATCTGGGATCACTAGAGTGCAAAATCTCCAGAAAAATGTTATCTGGCAAAATCAAAACAACAATTCATATCCTACTATCCAAAGCCCAATAAATCATCCAGATGTGTAGGAATGATGTATTTATAATTTTCAAGGAATTGCTAAAAATCAGTCTTGTGTTTTAATAAGTGATCTTCAAATCTAGGTTCCTTAATTTATGCTCTACTATAGGCACCAAAGTCCACAATAATACATTTCTCCTCAGTTTTATATGATGATGGTAGTGCCTATTATTCACATAGTGCCTTTTGTTTTACAAAGTGTTTTCCTCATAAAGCCTAAAGTATTATTATACCCATTTTACTGACAAGGAACCTCAAGTTCAAAAAGCCTGAACAACTTGTGATGTTAGAGCAAGGACTTGAATCCTAGGTACTAGGGCCTAAGCCCATCACTCTTTCTACTCTCCCATTCTCTATCTCTGATACATTTCTCATCTTTTAGAACTACTACCAAACCAAAGTTTTTTGGGTTGGGGGGATGATATCACTGTCATTTATTTTTCCAGTATTCCTTTATGACTCATCACAAGGTGAGAAGAAAGCAAGGTTCTGATAATGATCTTGTGATAGGGGGTTTCTTCTCTGGGTCCTGAGGGTCCATATTGTCTTCAATTTTTTTTTTTTTTTCAAAAGAAAGAACAATGGTTAACTGCAGCTTTCTAATGAAGCGTTCTACATTTCTGGTCAGAGCAAACTAATCCTAATTGAATGCAAGTTGCAGAACATGCTTCCTCTAACAGAATGCTTAGGACAGACTCTCATCAGAACACTGGGAAAATCTACTTCCTTTTTCGTGGCTTTGATTGTGGCAGGGATGTTTTTTAGATATTGGAAGCAGGGAGGAGTTGAGGTCAACATGACCTCAATGTTTCTTCCCTTTGACCACCATGGCTTTGGTATGTGGTGTGTTACTGGCACCCCAGTTGGATGTTGGAGCACAGTTTCCTATATAAACAATGTTATAAATGTTGGGTATGTGGTTAGACCTCTATTAAAGTTGTCTTTCGATAGTATGGAAATGACTCTACGTTTTACAAAGTTTTTGCTGTGAGCACAGTCTCTGGCAGGTCCTATGTTATTCACTTCAATAAATATTTATTAAGCACCGCCTATGTGCCAGACACTGGAATATATAAAGAGGCAAAAGACAGTCCCTGCCTTCAAGGAGTTTACAATGTAATGGAAGAGACAAGTAAACAGATACACAAAGAAAGCTATACACAGCAAAAATTAGGAAATAATTAGGAGGGAAAACACTGGAATTAAGAGGGGTTGGGGAAGGCTTCCTGTGGAAGGCAGGATTTTAGTAGAGACTTAAAGAAAGTCAGGGAATTCAGGAGTGGGAAAGGAAGAAGAGCATTCCAGGCATGGGGGACAGACGGAGAGATTGCCCAGACTCGAGAGATGGAGTGTCTTGTTCATAGAACAGAAGGCCAATGTCACTGGATTGAAGAGCACATCTGAGTGCCAGAGCATTTTGTATTTGCTTCTGGAGGCAATAGGGAGCCACTGGAATTTACCGAGTCAGGGGAAGGAGAGAATGACATGATGAGACTTTCCTTTTAGGAAAATCACTTTTGTGGTTCAATGGAGGATGGTGGACTAGAGTGGGGAAAGACTTGAAGCATGTGATACTCCATGTGTGAGGTGATGAAGGCCTGCACCAGAGTGGTGGCAGTGTCAGAAGAGAAGAGTGTATCCTCAAGATGCTGCAAAAGTCTAAGATACAAAAGCTTCAGATATGAACCTAGTGAAGGCCTCTATGTCTGCGGTACAAACCAGCTGAGCTAAGCTCAAATACAAGCATCAATGGAAACTTGGCTACCAAGTGATAATTTTTTTGACAGTCAAAATAACTTTTAAAAAATAGTCTACTGAAAGCACAGAAAGACATAGCATTTTAAGCTTTACACAGCACTGTACATTTTATCTCACTTGACCTTTACAACAACCCTGGGAAGTCAGTGCTGTTATTATTCCCATTTTACAGATGAGGAAACTGAGGCAGACTTAAATTAAGTGACTTGCCCAGGGTCACACAGCTACTAAGTGTCTGAGCCAGGATTTGAACTTAGGTCTTCCTGACTCCAAATCCAGCCCCCATCCACTGTGCCACCTAGCTGCCATATTGATTAAATCACACATCTTCTGAAGTCTCTAAATACAGTTTATAGAACTTCTCATTTTTGACCAAATACATTACGGATTTGATGAGCTTTTATTCTTGGCCTGGGAATCTCATTACCACTTATAATATTGTTTCTATAGCAAATCACTTCTTTCATCTGAAAAAAAAAATCAACTTAACCATCTTTTGACCGATTTCTAAATTGGTGACTGATTCGTCTATATTGGATCTGGGTTGAACATTCTAGATCTCACCTGTAAGTTTAGCATAGGCTTCCATATCATCAATTGCTGTAGAAAGCTTGTACTTTTTCCCCTCAGCACCTTCTATTTGTATGTAGGGATCTGCTTTAAGGAAGGCATCTGTAATCCTGTTGAGAATTAATTTACACAATGCATGAGTGCTTTTCTTCCTTTCACTTCTGGGTAGGGGACTATGGGTGTGGAACCTTATGCAGATGCTGTCATATCATTTGGAACTCAAAATTTTTTTCAAAAAATGTTAAAAGTTGTTTTTTACTTGTAATTGGAAAAAAATTTAAAAAAAAACCTCATTTCAATTCTTAAGTAATTTATTCCTATTTCTTGGGGCCTTTGTGCATGAAGACTGCTTTTTCTTAAGAAAGTCCCAAGGAAAAAGGTGCCTCTGTCACATTAAGTAACCAATTATCAGCCTGCCAACCTTGTAGACTTATGTATGCAGGCCCAGGAAGCCTTGAGAAAACATCACAAAACATCAAGGCCAAAGTGGCAGGACAATGAGTTTGATCACGACACAGAATAAGGAAAATGTAAAAATGGAGATTAATTTGACCAAATCCAAAACCAAGGTCAAGGGGTCTAAGTGTTATGAGCCATAAGATCCACTAATGCCAACAGCCAAAATGTACTAAATGTCTGAAGTCAGATCAAATACACAAGCCACCAAACATTAGTTATCAGGGTGTTAAACTGTAAAGGAAGATGAAAAGCTGTCAGTGAACTAAAGATATAAAACTCAAAACTGAAATTTTACTACTGGTAATCTCAGTAAAAAGGGTTGAAATTTAGTCTTAAAACTAATTTTTATTATTAATTTGGGGAGGTCAGTTATACTGGCTCCACCTCCTATGACAGTGCAGAAGGATTAACAACTTCCCTGCTGACAGAAGCCAGGCAATGGCAGCTATTCCTTCTCTGAATTAAGTATTGGTTACCTCTACCTCACTTGTTTGATCTATTCTAATATCCCGATAAACAATTATGTTTACTATGTTGTTTAAAAAAAAAAACTATTCAGTTGAGCAAAACTAAACCACACACCAAAAAAGTCTAACATGATGGGCAATGTTCCACAGCCTCCTACCTTTGCAAAGATGGGACAGAGGTACCTTCCCATGGCTCTCCCTGAGGCCATGCTTGAGCATTATAATTTCACAGCATTCAGTTTCAATTATTTTTTTCTTTCCATTTTCATTGTTGTAGTTATTGTGTTTATTGTTTTCTTGGTTCTACTTATTTCACTTTGCATCATTCTGCCTTTCCTTACATGCTTCTTTGTATTCAGATTCATTGTTTTTTTATAGCACAATAACAGTCTGTATTTTTACACACCTCAACTTGTTTTAGCATTACGCAATCAATGGGCATCTTGTTCCCTGTTCTTTACTACTACCAAAAAGTAACATTATAAATATTTTTGGGGCATATAAGGGCTTGTTTTTTGTTACTGATCCCCTTGAAATACAATGAAACCTCTGGGTTATGGGGTCATTTTAGTTACTTTCTTAGCATAATTCTACATTACTTTCCAGAACAGATAAACCAATTATTCATAGCTCCACCAACAATGCATGAATGTGCCTGTTTTTCTACAACCTTTCCAACATTGATTCTTCTCATCTTTTTCCATCTGCTAGATGTGAGATGAAACCCTAGAGTTGTTTTATTTGTGTTTCTCTTGGTTCGGCAGAATTAGAACAGAGTTTTATATTGCTATTAATAGGTTGTAACTCCTGAGAAATGTTTGTTTATATTGTATGATTACTTATCTATTGGGTCTTTTGGTCTTACATATTTGTTAGCTGTCTATATATCTTGGGTACTAAACTCTTATCAAAGATTATTTCATGCAAAGATTGTTCCCCTAGTTGACTACCCTCTTGTTCTAGTTGCTTTAATTTTGTTCATGTTACCATTTTTCAATTCTAATAATCAAAAAACTTACAATTTTTTATTTTGTGATTTCCCTCTATCCCTTGCTTAGTTAGGAATTTACCCCCTTGATATAGCTGTAAAAGGTAACTGATCTAATTTCTTTATGATATAACAATAACAACCACTAACATTTATATAGCACTTATTATGTGCCAGGCACTGTGCTAAATGCTTTACAATTATCTCATTTCATCCTCACAACAACACTGGAAGGTAGGTGCTATTATTACCCTAATTTTTCAGATGAGGAAATAGAGGCAAAGAGAAGTTAAGTGACTTGCCCAGGGTCAAACAGCTATTATGTGTCTGAGGCAGGATTAGAATTCAGATATTCCTGACTCCTGGCCCAGCACTCTGTCACTCACGCCACTTAGAAGGCATGACATTTACTGTTCAGGTCATATCTCTATTGTGAGATATGTTGTAAGACACTGATCTAAAACATAATTTCTGCTGTACTGCTTTCCAGTTTTCCCAGAAATGTTTGTCCAAGAGAGAGTTCTCCTCAAAGTAATCGATGTTTTGCAGGTTACTGAACACTTGCTAATCAAGTTCAATTGTTTCTGTGTCTTCTTTATCTTAGGAGACACCAAGGTGACACAGTGGATAGAGCTCCGGGCCTGAAGTCAGGAAGACCTGGGTTCAAATCTGGCCTGAGATGCTTACTAGCTATGTGACCCTGGGCAAGTCACTTAACCTCTGTCTGCCTTAATCTACTGGAAAAGGAAACGACAAATCACTCCAGTATCTTTGCCAAGAAAACCCCATGAACAGTATGGTCCACAAGGTCATGAAGAGTTGGACACAACTCAACAACTTCTTTATGGAGTCTGTTCCAGTGACCTACTTTCTATTTTTTTTTAAACTAGAACTAAATAGCTTTAATGACTGATGCTTTATGATACAATTTGGAAGGGCTTCCTATTTCCCCTTGATTCCTTACTTTCCTGCCCCCTCCCCCCGTCAATGTTTCTTTTGCTCTTTTAGATATTCTCTATCTTGTTCTTCCAAGTCAATTTTCTCATTAGTTGGGCTGGCTCTATAAACTATCTAAAATATGGCATGCTTTTTATTTCATCTGAATTTTGTCAGAATCTCAAATAGGTCTCAAACAGAACCATGTGCAACATTCAATCCACTTTGATAAATACACAACGGAAAATTCTGTAGGGCAAATTCCTTACATTGTTTCAATGATGTTGCCAACTTTGTGCTGGTAAGCTCTTCGGTGAAGGCAGTTGCGTGTATGAAACATGTCATACAGATTTCCAACTTCCTAGAGAATTGTGAAATAAATTTTAATTTATACAGCATACAAGTACGAGAAATAGAAAAGGGATGAAGACAGGCACATATAATATGTATAAGCTTAACAAGGATATATAACATAGGATCACAGAATTTGGAGCAAGAAGGGTCTTCAGAGGTGATCTAGTTCAGCACCTTCATTTTAAAAACATGCTCTAAGAAGTAATGACTAATCCAAGGTCACAAGGTGTGATGTAGCACAGATGAAATTAGAACCTGGATCTTTTGACTCCAAATCTACCTCTCTTTCCACTATACAATGCATAAGATATATGCCAGCCAAGTACCACTAATATAAGGATGATAGATCTGTGATATTTATTGGTTTGCTCATAACTTTTTCATACTTATCCACAAAGCTGACCTAAATATTCTGTTGACATAACATAATATTTAAATATGTGTTCCAAGGTTTTATTATAGTATAATCCCACATATGTGTGTGTGTGTGTGTGTGTGTGTGTGTGTGTGTGTGTGTGTG